TGGCCCGTCCCCTTCCCCCCCCCCCCCCCCTGCACCCCAGCTGGAGAAAGTCTATGACCCCCGGAACGAGGAGGATGACATGCTGGAGATGGAGGAGGAGCGTCTGCGCATGCGGGAGCACGTCATGAAGAATGTGAGTGTCTCTCTGGTGGTCTCGCAGTGCCCCCATAGGGTAGGGAGAGGTCCCTGGGCATTGCCTACTGCTGGGACCCCAGGATGGTGTGGGGGGGGACCTAGATAGGGGTTGCACAGGCCGTGTAGATGTTTTTGGAGGGGTCATCATCCCTGATGTCTTGCCCTCCCCCTTGTCTGCCCCCCTTCTCCCCCCAGGTGGACATGAACAAAGACCGGCTAGTGACACTGGAGGAGTTTCTGAAGTCCACTGAGAAAAAGGAATTCAATGAAGCCGGGGGCTGGGAGGTGAGTGGGGGTGGGCGGTGGAAGGAGGCAGAAGCAGAGATCAAATGGTGAGACAGGACGCTTGGGTTCTATCCCCAGCTCCGGGAGGGGAGTGGGGGCTGGTGGGTTAGGGCAGGGAGAGCCACGAGCAAGGATGCCTGGGTTCTCTTCCAGCTCTGGGAACAAAGGAGTTTGGTTGGGCACTGTAAAGGGTCAGTCTGGGCCTGGCTTTTGTGGGTCAGGGTTCCAATCTAGACTCTCTCCCCACTCCATCCAGACGGTGGATGAGACCCAGGTGTACTCCGAAGCAGAACTCAAGCGCTTTGAGGCAGAGCTTGCAGCCCAGGAGGCCGAACTGAGCCGGCGGGCAGAGCAGCTGCGGCGCCAGCACCAGGACCTGGCTGAGCAGCAGGTCCAGCTTGATGCCCAGAAGAAGGAGTACCAGCATGTAAGCTGGGAGGCCTCTCTCACCCTTGTCTTCCCCATTCTGGGACCCCCTGCCCCTTGGGCTCCTGTCAGCTTCTGCCCACCCCTCCCCTCTTTGGAAGATGGGAACTGTTTGGAAGCAGGGGGGCTGAGTGCATGGGGGGACTTCCCTCCTTTGGCGGTAGGAGGGGGAACAGCAGGGTGTAGGGGGTAGGCATTGAGAGGTAGATCCCTGTGAAGATATGAGAAGGGAGAAGTGTGAGGAAGCAGGGCTGAGGTGTGGAATAGAGCTATGTGATGGAAAGGGCAGGGCTGAGATGTCAGGTGGAGCTATGGGGTAGAAGGGGTGGGGCCGAGCTGTGGGAGGGGGAGAGGCTCAGCCCTGGGGGACTCTCCCTGAGATTTGGTGGACAGGCTCACACCCACATGGACCCTTTTGTAGAGAGAGAGAGAATCCCACTCACCCTCTGTACAAGGAGGAGGAGCTGTAGGATGAACAGGTAGATGCTGCCCCTACATACCTACACCTCTGATTCTGGGTTCTTGGCCCCCCCCCATATCGGGTGCAGGGCCAGGGGCTGGACAGGGTGTTTGGCTTGGAATTAACACCTGCCCGGCTCCCTTTTCCCACCTTTTCCCCCAGGCTGTGTTGCAGATGGAGCAGAGGAAAAACCAGCAAGCAGAGGCACCAGTGCCTGCTGGGGCAGGAGGAGAGCTGAAATTCCAGCCCCAGCCCCCACATGTTGCTCAAGCTGGTAAGATGGGGTTCAGGATGCCTGGGTTTTCCCAGCTCTGGGAGGAGAGCAGGGTTTGGTAGGTTAGAGTCGGAGGGACTGGGAGCCAAGACACCTGAGTTCTCCCCCAGCTCTGGGAGGGTAGTAGAGTCTGGTGGGATAGAGTTGGCTGATCAAATGGGAGGGGAGGTGTGTGTACCAGGGGTTGGGAGCAAGAGGGAGGGACAGTAGTTAAGTCTAGTCAGTCTGAGCCACTATCACCTGTCTCTGGTTCCCTATCCAGATCCGCCTGTGCCTGCCCAGTCTGCAGTCCCAGTTGACACCCTGGCCCACGCCCCCGAGCAGAACCAGGTGGAGCCTGCCCAGAACCAGCCACAGCAGCCGCCTCAGCCTGAAGTCCAGATCCAGTAAACAGCACCCTCTGTGAGAGTCAGAAATGGGAGAAGCTGCCTGTGGCCCTGCTCCCGCTCTGCAGTGGGGCACATCTGTGAACTGAACCCTACTGAGGCGGCAGCACCCCCATTAGAGAATCCAGAGCTGGGTTATGGCTCTTGCAGTCCCCTCTTCTGGTCCTGGGGGGTGACATTTGAGTCATGGCTTCCCTTTTAATGGGAAACTTTGAGCTGGCTCTGGGGATTTGCCTTGTAATGTGGAGGGAGGGGGCACTGGTATTAAGGTGCCCCCACCTTCCTGCCCCTTGTTGCTGCATTGCATTCTGGGTAGTCCCATTCATTCTTCAACTCCCCACCCTGGGAGCTAGCCTGGCATCAGGAGTGTGGGTGCACTGCATTTTGGGAACTCTCAGCTGCCAGTGCTCTTCTCCTGACTCCTCCCTTGGATATATTTGCATTGCAAATTAACTAGGGGGGGAGTTGCAGTGCATTGTGGGTAAGCATAGACTTTCCCTCCCTCCCCCAGTATTTGCAAGCCAGTGGTAAAAGCTGGCTTGATAGTGGTTGGGGTGTCCTGCAGTGCATTATGGGTAACTCATCCATCTACTGTACCCCTTCTTTCTCCTGCATTTCTTAGCACAGGGCTACTCTGTTTGACTGGCCCCCAACACCCACCACCTTTGTGTTGCTTTAGTGGGGCAATGTTAGCTCCTAATAATGGGCTGTGGGAGGCAGTCCTGGGGTCTAGCAAGGAAGGGGAGGAGGTAGCTTGGCCTTGACCTGTCTACCTGAAGCTGGGTCCCCTACACATTTCAGAGGCAGTAGCTACTGTGACCAGCCCAGGGCTCTGGCTCTTCTGCGCAAGGGCCTAACACTGCCCCCTTCCTCCCTCACCACGGGAACCCTTCATTTTCCCCCTACATCTCCCCTCCTGCCACTCAGTCCCGTAGAGTCCTGGATCTCTGCCGCCCAAAGTGATGAAATCCAGAGCCCTCTAAAACCGGGTAGGGTGGGTCCCCTGAGTGTCTAGCACCCCTTGAAATCAGGGCTGATCTTTTAATTGGGGGGTCTAATCTTTGCCCCCTGCTCTGTCTTCCCCACAAACCCTTAGGGCCCCCCTCTCATCTTCATTGTCACCCCAGGGGCTGTGTCCCACCCATTCTCCCCACTCAAAAACCCTGCCCCATTCTTCCTACAGTCTGGGGTGAGTTTGGTCTCTTCTGAGACCCCCGTTCCATCCAAAATGCGGTATTAACCCCAATGAAAACAAATTCTATAAGGGAAGGATCTTTGCTTGCAAGGGGGGTACACAGGATTTTGGGGGTGGCAGCTGAGCAGTGAAAAGCAGGTTGCATTAAGGGAGTCTTTCAGGGGTGGGAGTGGAAGAGCCTCAGCCCTGGGAGAGTCTCCCTGGCTCAGTTTTGGGGTACAGGCTCACACCTACATGGGCCCTTTGTGGATAGAGAATCCCATTCACCCTTTGTACAAGCCAGGAAGGTTAATGACTTTAGATGGAGTCAGTGATTTTGAATGGATTGCCAGCTTCTGCTCCCAGTCCCCTTTCCCCTCTCCAAAATCTCAGCTGTGTCCCATCTCAGCCCAAAACCTAATAGAAAGTTAAATTAAGGCCTCAGCCTGTCTCTGCCTCTTATTTTTGGCTCCCCAGGGAGGGGATGGGAACAGGTTTGGCTTCAGCCTACTGAGGCTCCCAGAGTAAGGAAACTGTGTTGACACAGTTGACAGCTGTGTTTGTTTGTTGTGTGGGGGAGGCCCTTGGGAGCAAGGGGAGCTGTGGGAGGGATTTTGGGGTGTGGAAATAATGCCTTGTTGGGTGAGGGGCACTGGAAAAGGTTGGGAGGGGACTTGGTTCAACAGGGCCAGCCTGAGGGGGAGCGGTGTCAGTCCAGTGTTGCCCTTGGCATCCAGGGGAAAAGTTTCACAGTGAGACCCAGCACCCAGGGGTCTGAACCACCTTGAATTCAGAGGAGAAACCATGCCTGGGAGGGAGTTTTGCCCCTACCCTTGGTGAGGGACATTTAAATACTGGAATACCCCCCTTCCTCCCAGTGGTGGATTTTTAGTTCCCTGATAGCATTGTGCTCAAGGGGAAGCAACCCCTAATCCCTCTTGAGGGACACCTAGGGTCCATCCCTGCTCAGGCAGGGGAGGGAATGGGGTCTAGTGGGGTTAAAGGTGGGGGGTGCTGGAAGCCAGGACTCCTGGGTTTCATTTTGGCTGTAGGAGGGACCAGGTGACATGCAGGGGACTGGTTGGCAGGAAGCTGCAGTGCTAAAGTAAGGGTGTGGGAGGGTTTGTGAGAGGATACTGGGGTGTTTAAGGGGCCAGGGAGGCCTACCCCAGGGTCAGGAAGAGTTGGGTACCTGACTAGGGCAATGGGGATGGAGAGGGAGGGATCAGCACAGCTCCCCCGGGGCAAGCCAGAGCAACCCCCAATAGAATCAGGTCATCCCAGGATCCCTGAAGTCAAGCCCCCCCCCACACACACACACACACACCCCCTGCAGGGAGGTGAAAGAAAAGGCATCAATAATGAGCACCCTGGCTCAGTCACTGGGCATTCAGCCAAGCACCACCCAGCCTAGGGGGCAGTTAATGCCCCAAAGAACATTCATGCTACAGGTGTTTTGCCCCCAACATTGGTGGGGACTCTGAGGCCCAAGAAGCAATAAACAAGGAGAGTAAAAGAACCCTGGTGTTCTGGCTCCCAGCCCCTCTACTCTAACCCCCGAGCCCCTGCTCCTACTCAGACCTGGGATACAACCCAGTCATCCTGGCTCCCAGCCTACCTGCTCTAACCCACCAAACCCCACTGTCCTGAAGACAGAGCCCAGGAGTCCTGGGTTCTTAATAGGTTTAAAAGGCTGCTGTAAACACTGCTGGGCCTTTCACCTCTTCCCGATTCTTTCATGCATTACTCGGATGAAGGGACATGCTGTCCTGTCTGCTTGGGGCCTACCTCAAGTGTGCCAGGCCAGTTCCTCCACCACCCTGTGAGGTTCTGGCTGCATTTCTCCCTGCACCATTTCTTTTACACACTCCCATCCATGGCCTCACCAAGCAGGGGTGACTGGTGCCTCCTGAGTCGGGGGGGGGGCACAATTTGTGGGTGGGCTAAAAGCCCCAAATCCACTCCTATACTTCTGTGCTGTGACTTGGTGTTGCCCCCCGCAACGCGGCACTGGTGAGCATGGTAAAAATCCCCCCCCACTTTGGCAGCCAATCTGGTGGCAGGGAGGGGGCATGTGCCCCCCATGACCCCTCTACCAGTTGCCTGAGCCATCTAAGACCTGGCATGTCCTGGTCACCTTCCTTCTGGCTCTGGCCAAACTCTCCATCTACCAGCTAGGAAGGAGGCTCTGGCTGGGGGAAGAACCTGGGCTACTGTGGGGCCATCTTCTTCCCACTCTTCCACTCACACCCCTGGGCAGAGTTTCACTGAGTGGCATCCACAGGTCCCTTGGACTTGTTCAAGGGGCAGTGGGTGCTGGCTGGTGTGCTCTGCTCAGTGTCTCTCATCCCCCACAAAGTGCTTGTTATCAACCTTTACTCCTGTTCCCATCCCTGTTTTCTCATGTTGTCCTCTGGATTTGCTTGTTATATATCTGGGCATTGGGGATGATCTAGGCATAGCTCTGCCTGTGTTCTGCTATGGGGATTTCCCTGGCTTCTGGGCTTTGCTGGTTGCTCCCCTTGCCTTCCCCTCTGCTACGTGTGTCCGGGAATTTTTAAGCCTTCCTCAGAGGCATTGGATGTTGGCTACAGCCAAGGCTGGAGATTATGACTGGGCTGTGCCAATGCTTCTGCTGGGATTTCAAACTGGAGGTTCCTGGCTACAGGGTCTTGCCCCTCTGCTCAGGGTCAAACTGATCACTGTAATTGGGGTTGGGAAGGAATTATACTGTGTGGTTGGATTGGTGCAGACTAGGAGGGGAGGGGGCAGTTGGCCTCCCTCTACTTGGCATCTGTGAAGCATATGCATTAACCGTTCTACAGAAGCAGGATGTTGGCTGCTGTGGTCCCTGCTTAATCTGTGGCAGGTTAGGGTGTTATGTTTTGTGTTATGTCAGGGTCGATGGTAGCTTTAAGGTTATTTGTATAGGAAGGTTTGGATAGGGAGTATCCTGCCTCAAGCAGGGGTTGGACTAGATAACCTCTGGAGGCCCCTTCCAGGTCTGCTTCTCTCTGATCCTATGATTCTAGTGACATCCATAACTGAGGGAGGCTTTTAGTCTTCCTTGATTTCCATAGGCCCACCACCGCTTTGCATAACAAATAGGCTTGTTTGGCTGGAGGGGGAGGAAGGCTATGAACCTGTGGTTCTCAAGCTTTTTTAGGCTCAAGGTACTCCTCCAGAAATGTCAGCTCTTAGTTTTCACTTGTTTTTTGACTACAGCAATGAAAAAATACTACAGCAATTCTCCTGCAAAGAACTCAGAAAGACCACAACAGGTCAGCTTCTTTGTGACATGAGATTCCTGTTTGAAATCTTTGGCTTTATCTTGTGAATGAGATGCAGGTGTTTTCTTATCTAACAGTGCTCCATATGGTGCATCACCCTTAGATGGATCTCACAGCACTGTGTTTGAGAATTATTTCTTATAAACAGTCTCACTGCCTCCCTAGTTTTCTTTAGACCCAAGAAAATTCATGGCAGATATAATTCAATGTGGTAGCTTATCCCAGGCTCTGGGATGTGGGACTTTGAAGTAGTGACAAGAACCAGAACAATTGAAATAGGAGCTTTTTATTCACCAGGTCTGGAGCAGTAGAAACATGAGATATAATATCTAAGCAGCAGGTCAGTGCTTTGGACAAATAAATACAAGTAAAAAAACCCAACCCTTTAAAGTGGGTCATTTTCACACATTTATCAAAATTCTTTTTGTCCAGTTCCCTCTGGGGGTGAGCAGCTGGGATGAACCCAAGGGCTCAGAAATATCTTCACACACACACACATGCATGCACAATTGGAGCTTATCTGGTTCAGATGCAACTGCAGCTGGGCAGTGCCACTGAGAACAGCTGTTTATAATGCCAGGCTGGATCCAGCTCAGTATTCTGTCTTGTAGCTATCTGCTCTGTTGAGGTAGGTGTCTGGATCCTGCCTTGTGTATTGGAGGGGTGAGGCAGGACCCAGGAGTCCTGGCTCCTCGAAGGAGATGGAGTCAGTTGTGGAAAAGTTGGGTTGGAGAATCAGTTGCTAGGGGAATGGACCCCACAAGGTGGGGAGGGGAATGTGTGTCCTATCCCAGTCTACTGTTCCGGATGCCTAGGTCCTCTTCTCCAGACGAGAGGGATGGGCACCTCCCTGTTCTCCCCTCCTGAATACCTGGGTTCTCTCTTCCTGTGGAGCAGAGTGGAAGGGACGTGGCCTGCTGGTCCCACATGCCTGGATTCTCTGTTGCAGTGGAGCAGGATGGAAAGGATATAGCTTGGTTCTCCTGGATGCCTGGGTTCTCAGTGGCCTTATGGATCCTCCTCCAGGCTTTGGCACGGTGTCCTGGCTCCAGGCAGGGCCCTAAGACAACTTCTGCCTGTTCGATGCGTTGGCGGAAGCGGCACCGATCCCGGGCCAGCTCTTCCCAAGGCCCACAGCGGGCGGCGCGGCTAGCGAAGTCCCAGACTATCAGAGGGTGCACTGTAACTACAGGGCAGAAGCGAACCTGAGAGGAGAAACAAAGGAGGTGAGATGGATGCAGAGACCCTGCTGCTCCCCTCCCCTCAGCCTGGAACTAGTGACTCCTAGCGGGGAAGTGCCCATGCCCTATTCCCCACCCCCAACCCTTGAAGCAGATACGGCCAGAGTCTCGGGTGGATGATGAACTCTCCTTCTGCCTTTCGCAACCTAGCAATACAACCCAGGAGTCCTGGCTCCCAGCCCCCACTACTCTGACCCACCTGACCCCACTTCCCCCACCCCTCCAGAGCTGGACTAGAACCCAGGCATCTGGTTCCTGCCCCATCCCACCTGCTTTAAGCCAAAATTCATTCCTACATGCTTCTGCTGGAACCAGACTGGACACCTGGGTTCCTTTGCGCAGGCTGCACTGGGAGGGGAGGTGGAGGGAAAGTTCCGGCCCCAGGCATGGGGGTGGGGCTGGCAGGGGCCCTGCAGGTGGGGAGTGAGGGACAACAGTGGGGTCAGAGGAGCCCAGGGCTGGGGGGCTATGGGTCAGGAGTGAAAAGCACTGGGGGAGGGGGGCTGCATGCTGTGACTGAATTGTGTGTGGGGCTGGGGGGGCCTTTCAGTGGGAAGGCCCTGCAGATTAAGCTAGACAGGGGCTGCACCAGGGGCTGAATTGTTTGCATTTCACTCCATTGCACCTGCCATCTCCTGGGGAAAATCAGGGGCATCTGATGTTGTCCCCTGAAACTGCCCAGTGGCAACAGGGCCTGCAGCTAGGGATGAAAAAGAACCCAGAAGTCCTGGCTCCGAAACAGCCCCCCACACATCATTAGACCCCACTCTCCTCCCAGAACAGTGATGGAACCCAGGTATCCGGGCTCCCAACTCACCTTCTTGGCAGCCCGGTTGCCCTCCTGGTCACATGCTGTCTCAGTCATCACTGGGTCCTCAGCTCTCCTAGATCCTGGCTCACAATAGTGAGGGGCCACCTTGCGGAGGCTCTCCCATCTTCTCATAGGCCAGGGGCTCTGGAAGGCACAGGCTGTCCCAGCCTCCAAGCTGTGTGCCATGCCTAGGTGGGAGACCTGGTCCTGGTTCTGTGGCCAGCAGGAGTCTGGAGCTGCCTTGGGGCCCCTGCTGCTTGTGGAACAGCGGAGAGGGTTGGAGGGGTCATGCCCACAGCTCAGAGATCTCCACAGCTCCTCATTTTCTGAGTCAGCTTCCTCTTCCTCCTCTGTGTCACTCCAACCTGAGTCACTCCCTCCATCTTCTTCCTCCCCATCATCCTCCTCTGAGGGGCAGTAGAACAAGGAGAGGACCAGCGAGCTCTTGGCGATGGGTTCCTTATCCTTTGTTCCATTCAGCAAGGAGATGGTGGCATCTCCTTCACCACCCTTGAGGGCCTCTTTGGATGCCCCACCCATCCCAGGATGTTCCCCATCTTCCTGGGAATGCTGGGGATTTTCCAGAAGTTGCTTCTGGACTTCTCTAGAATCTTCCAACCTCTCCAAATGTTTGTCTGTCTCCTGGAAGCCAGTGGCTTCTTCTCTGGCCAGCATACTGCCTTCTCCGGCATCTTCCAGATGTTTATTCATCTCCTGGAAGCTGGTGGCTTCTTCTCTGCCTGGCACAGTGCCTTCTCCACTGTTCTCCAGATGTTTGTCTGTCTCCTGGCAGCTAAGGGCAGCTCCCGGAGTATCATCACATTTCTCCAGGTTTTCCCAGAGCTTCTGTCCCTTTCCAGAGGTGGGATCCAGAGCAGGGGGCCTTTGTAACCTCCCCTCCCTGCCTGTTGGCCCAGAGCAGGCAGGAAGGAAGCTCTCCTTCGTTTTCCTCATCATCCTCATGGTAGCAGGGAACAGATGCCAGGCACTCAGCCACCTTTTCAGCAGGCACAGGAGGACTTTAGCTGTCATGGTGAGCCTGCCAGCCACGGTGGGTCTGCACGAGAGGCTACCTGGGTCCGGGAAGGCATCGTGGACCATCTGGGCACAGTGGGTCACTGTGGGGCAGTGGTTGACGAATGGAAGGGTTGCGTTGCAGGTCACAACAGTTGAGTTGGGGGTCATGACGGCTCTCTTGGTCTGGAATGGATGGAGGAGGGGTGAGAATTTAGGTCATTGGGCTCCAGGAAGTGGGGAGTGCTCCTTTGTGAGGGGAAAGGCAGAAAGGGTGCTAGGCCTTGCCCCACAGGAGAGCAGGGAAATCACACCAGACCCTACTTCCCTCCCACAGGTGGGGAGGGAACCCAGGTGTCCTGGCTGCCAGCCTGCCTGTCCCTGTACTTGGTACCATCTGTTGGCTCTCTTGAACCTCCTTTCCCCCTCCTCCACACAGACTCACCCTTTCTGTCAGTTCACAACATGACAAGGAGAGACATGGGGGGTGGGGAGTGGGGGGCCTGGACACCTGGGTTCTATCCCAGCTTGCAAGGGAGCAGAACCTGGGAGGGATGGGGGGGGGGGAGGAATGGGGGATTAGGAGCTAGGATGCCTGGGCTCCCTTCCAGCTTGGGAAGGGGAGTGGGGTCTGGTGGGCTCAAGCAGGGGGCTGGGAGCCAGGATGCCTGGGTTCTCTCTCGCTCTCCCAGTTCTAGAAAGAGGGGTGGGGGCTGGAGAGTGGGTGGGAGGGGTGCTGGGATGGCTGGGGTCTCTCAGGTCTGGAAGTGGCAGGGTTAGAACAAGATGGCTGGGAGCCAGGATGCCTGGGTTGTTTCCCGCTTTCTCTCTCAAAGTTTCCTATTATGGCCTGGCAAGGCGGTCAGGCTCGGGGCGTTCCCGCCCTGGCAAGACTACACAAGTCCCTCTGGAATGCCGGCTACACCCCACTCCGGAAGTGGGGGGCTCCCATACACACCCCCTAGTGCACCGCTGCGGCCAGGCTCCTGCGAGAAGCCGGGGGGCAGGAAGAGACTGGCTTTCCTGACAGGTTTGAGCCATCCTGTGGGGTGGGCGGGTGCAGGGGTATATCTTGGGGGTGCTGCACCCCCATTCTGAGGTGATGGGTGGGGGGACCCCAGGTGGTGAGAGAGGGTACTCTGGCTGTAATGTCGACTGGGGAGACCCCACAACAGGCCAGGAGGCAACCTCTTAAATGGTGGGGTCCCCAGAAGCATGTGGAAGTGCACCATGAGTTTCTACACCCCTAGACTGCACTGCCTGCAAAAACCCCAATATGGGGCCAATCCAGAGGGTGGGGGGTCACTATAGGGGTGCAGAAAGAGGTGGGGAGTGGGGCACCCCATTGGCTATAGGGGGCAAGCTATAGGGGAACAGTCCCAGATCAGGGCAAATATGGGGCAACAAGGAGGGGCTGGGGGCCGCTTTGGGGGCGGGGTGTTGCGCAGAGAGACGCTTACCGGGGCTCAGCCGGTGGCCACGGCGCTCCAGCAGCAGGCGGCGGGACGAGGGCGCGGGCGCGGGCCGGGCTCCAGGTGCTCCATACTGCGTCTGTACTCGGTGCCTGCAGAAGGGTCGGTGCCCGCCGGCCCGGCCCGGCCCGCACATATAGAGCCGGGTGACGTCAGGCGCGACGTCACGAAAGGAGTCACACACGGCCCCGGGCGGAGGGGGGACAACAGCGCGGTCTCCATAGCAACGGCCCAGCCTCTGCCCCGCCTCACGGCAGCGCGCCTCACCGCACAACCCCACAGCAACACCACAGCACACAACCCTGACATCCCCACCCCACAAGACAATATACCACCCACTACACGACACAACATCAGCACATAGCCCCACACAACACCCTCCACACAGACCCACAGCATGGCACAACTCCACAACAACACACAACTCTGACAGGTATACAGCCCCACATCGCACGGCCCAAGCCCAGGACAACACCACACAATGCACACTTACAGCAACACAATCTCAGCACATACCCACTCCACACAACGCCCACAATGCAGCACCATATGGCACCGTGCAACGCAATGCAACCCTACAACACAATGGGACACAACCTCACAACACCATACAACCCACATAGAACAACACAACACCACCCCACACAGCCCAGCACAACCTTACAGCAGCATAGCATCCACAACAGCACCATGCAACCCCAGCACATACACAGTGCCATAGAGCAGCACAACGCCTATATGGACGCATACACAGCCCTAGATAGTGCAACACACACAGCAGAGTACACATAACACACACAAAACAACACAACACAACACTGGCATATAACTACACTGTAGCACCACACACCTCTTGACACCCATACACATATGGCTCGGCACCCCTCAACACAACCCTGCAGTAACAACCCCAGCATGTACACAATCCTACATGGTAAACTACAACTCCACAGGAGCATGCACAACAGTGCTGGCACGCATACAATTGGACAGTAACACCTTATACAGCACAGTGCAGCACAACTCCACAGCAGTTCCCCACACAGCACAGTACCAACACATATGTAGTTCCCCACGCAGCCCAACACACACATACCAGCAGCCTGAAAGTACAGTCCAACTATACAACCCAAAACAACATCCATTGTGTAATAACACAGGCATCACACCGCCCTGCAATGATGCACTCCCACAAAGTGTGGAATAAACACAATCTTTCACAACAAGACTGCAACCTCACATGGAATGAACTCATGCCCAGTGGAGCACATCCACAACCCACGTCTCATACTCACACTGAGTACACAAAGTGAATCATCATCCTGCCCCATTCCAGAGAGCAGAAACACAACAACACAAATTACACAACAGCATTCAGGCAGGTCCTGGAATACAGTACAAAGTGCCATGTGGGATTGACACAAACACACTGCAAGGCAGCACACAATGCAACAGGCAGTAATCCCATGATACACAACACATCACGAGGCCACACACACAGCACTGTGTATATGAGCCAGGATGCCTGGGTTCTCTCCCAGCCCTGGGAGGGGAGTAGAAACCCAATGGGTTGGGCAGGGGGCTGGAAGCCATGATGCTGGAGTCCAATCTAGTCTTGGGAGTACAGATTGAGGCCAGTGGGGAGTTCCCAAAGGGATTCCCCAGTTGGGGGGTGAAGGGTCCAGGACTTCCCCTGACCCCCCCCCC